AAAGATGGCAAAGTGTTGCAAGCCTGAAATCCCAGTGGCTCGGGAGGTTGAGGCAGGAGGATCACAAGTTCAAAGCCAGTCTCGGCAACTTATCGAGATGCTAAGCAACTCAATGAGACCCTGTCTCTAAATAAAATACAAAACAGGGCTGGGGATGTGGTTCAGTGGTTGAGTGCCCTTGAGTTCAATCCCTGGTACAAACAAACAAAACAAAACAAAACAAAAACTTAAGACCTTAGTAGCACATAACGGGCCAGGCATGACCTAGAAGTAGTTTCAGTGAAAAAGAATCAGGGTTTCAGTAAGAAATATTTTGCTGGAAATATGGCATTTGGAATAAAGGACAGGACAGACACTCCTGCTTTACTCTGTGTTGGTCAGATGTTATCATGAAGTCACTGTTTAGTGAACTGGAAATGTTTGAGCTAAAGAAGATAAGAGTCAGGGTCACTGAAGCTCAAATATGTGAAGAATTAGACTTACATTGTGTGACCCCCATGATATAATACATGGACCACCAGGAACTCAAAGTGAAGTTCAGCTCAAAGTGAAGTTCAGCTCAAAGTGAAGTTCAGTTCAGTGGAGACCACTGGGAGACAGAGTTCAGCTCAGAGGAAGGAAAAGCAGATGCTCATAAATGAAATGGGCTGTCTCGGGAGGCAATAAGCTCTCCATTCCTGGGGATGTTCGAGATGATTCTGGGACACTGCTTGCCAGAAATGTTGGCAGGGAGTTCCACACCAGAAAGAATTTGAACTTGGTAGTTGTTTTTTTTTTTAAACAATTTTTCAAAAAATATTTATTTTTCAATTGTAGTTGGACACAATACCTTTATTTTATTTATTTTTATGTAGTGCTGAGGATCGAAACCAGGGCCTCACACATGCTAGGCAAGCGCTCTACCACTGAGCCACAACCCCAGCTCCTAGGTAGTTGGTTTTTGAGGTCCAAGAACAGGATTGCTCCTGCTTGTGCTCTTCTTGTGCCCCTTACCCGGCCCTCTCTGCTCCCTGGTACCCACCTGGCCTCTCCTTCCAGACTCAGGTCAGTTTCCTCATTCTCCATCTCCCCGAGCTTGCAACCTGAACTGACTGCATAACCTCCACACCTTTTCATTATTTAGCATTCTTTATTGTTCTTTCATTATCCCCATCTCATTTGCCCCTAGAGGGTAGATACCTATGTTATCTGTGACAGGATAAAACTTCCTAATCATTAGTTGGATACAGTAGTGCAAATCTGTAATTCCAACTATTTGAGAGGTTGAGGCAAGATCATCACAAGTTCAAAGTTAGCCTGAGCTACTTAGTAAGACACTGAATGAAATAAAATAAAAAGGTTTGGGGATGTAGCTCAGTGGTAGAGCACATGCCTAGCAGGTGTGAGACCCTGGTTTGATCCCCAGTACTACAAAACAAACCAAAACCAAAAACAACTAAAAATTGACTGCCCCCAGCCTTCCTCTGCCCCGCCTCCTCTCACCCCCAAGATAATTTTATCCCTCACCTGTCGCTGGAAATCTTGTCTTGGCCTGCTCCTCCCATGGCTTTTGTAATACAGAACTAGGAGACAGGACAGTAGGTGAGAGGGGGAAGAAAAGAAGAAAATAATGAAAGTGGAGTGTCTCCACCAATCCATGCAGTGTGCAAGTGGGAGATGACAGTGGACAGAGGAAGACAAAAGCTCTGTTGACTACCAAGGACCGAGGGGCTGATTTGGAGTTTTCAGAGTGACCGTGACTGTTGCAAGGTGTAGCAAAGCAGCAAAAGAAAGGGAATTTGAACACAAGTGGTTGTAGGTTATGAACTGGACAGCCTTCCAAAGATACAAATAAAACCTAGAATTCAGTTTTACAATTATGATCAGTGTTTGGGTTGTAGGGGTCCAGAATAGATTCAGCTCACACATCCTGTAACTTTCATAGGACTAAGCATAGTACCATGGTGTAAGTGCCCTAGTTTCGTAGCACCCCAGTCTCTGCAGATAGCACACACATGGTCCTGAGGCTGTGGGATCCTGAAAAAAGACCTCTGAGCGCTCTTTCTCTCATATATATATATATATATATATATATATATATATATATATATATTAGAGAGAGAGATAATTTTTTTAATATTTATTTTTTAGTTTTTGGCGGACACAACATGTTTGTTTTTATGTGGTGCTAAGGATCGAACCCGGGCCGCACACATGCCAGGCGAGCGTGCTACCGCTTGAGCCACATCCCCAGCCCCTCTGAGCTATGTTTTTTAAAAACACTTCCCAAGCTTGGATTTCAAGTTACAAAAGGCCTAGGAGTTAGGTTATGGGTCTCAACAGAACTTGAAGGCTAGGGAAGTTAATCAGTGTTAATCAGTTTACTTCAAGTCACAGACCAGGTTTTAGGTCTGACTGGTACTTTGACTATGTCTGGCCCAGGGCTTTGTCCATAATCCAGGGAAGCTTTGTAAAAATGACCCAGGGGTCTATATGCATGTCAATAGGGTTAGGCTTGGAGAAAAAAGGGGGTACCTGGGAGACTAGCAGTTCTGAGCACCCCGTCCAGGCTCTGGGGGGTCCAGATAAGGAGGCCAAGCCTGCCTTCCCAGATCTTATGGCCTCACAGGGAAATGAGCCAGACACAGGAAGAAGTCCAATGGAAAGTTGGAAACAAGTGCTATGGTGGTGTCGTGGAAAGAGTCTGGATGTGGAATTAGACTTCCAGCTATCACTCATCCACCACGTGATCTCAGGCAAGTCCTTTCACCAGTGTGGAAGCCTTTCACCTCTTAAAAATATCAGTTCTGTAGTGCTACATATAAAAGTAATGTAAGCACTGCCCCCCAAAGCACTCTGCTCCCAGAAGTATCTCAGAAAGGCTCTTGCCTTTAACACAAGAATTAAATGGCAAGAATTATGTTCCCAGGACTTAGAACTGCCAGACCAGTGGGCAGCAGGCAAGGAGTAGGGTTGACTGGTTTCGACTTCTTTTGAGGATCCTGCCTCTGATAAATTCTCCTAGCTTTATGCTTATTTATTTTGTGGTGCTGGGGATCAAACCCAGGACCCTGCACACACTAGGCAAGCACCTGCTTCTGGGTTTAAGAACTCTGCCCCCTCCCCATGCTGGTCAAAGCTAAGTGTTTATCCCTCTCAACAAGCCTGCTATCTAATTGCGGTCTTCAGAATAAAGATCTTGGAGCTACATTCAACCCATCTTTCTTTCTTTTTAATATTTGAAGAAAACCAAGATCTTGCCTGAGAGGTAGGTTAAAAAATAACAAGAAGAATGAAGTAAGGCCCAGAGAGTGGGACTGACTAGGCCGATGTCACATACTCTGGACTCTCAGGCCCATTTTCTTACTTTGGGGATTTGGAGAATTTATTAGCAAGGGATTTTATGGAAATTAAGCCTTAGTGATCTCTTATGACATCTGGTCTAGACCTCTTGCTGCAATCCTGTCTATCTTTGGAACTCCAGTGAGATATGCACTGTCTGCCTGGATTGAACCACACCTGAGGCTTGTATGAAGTCTCAGTTCAGATAGTGATCCATACTGCAGTTACCCAAAACATGGGTAAGGTCTTTCCTAAGTGCTCCCTAACCCCTAATTACACTGAATTGAAATCCTTTCTTTACCTGTCTGTCCCCAGCTAGGCTGTCAGCTGTGTAAGAGTAAGGACCTTATCTGTTTTGTCACTAACATATGTCTAGTTCTAGTCCAGTGCCTGGCACATAGTAGATCTCAATAGGTATTTGTTGAATGAATAAGTAGGCAGAGTCCTCCATCAGAAAGGAGTTCCTGGAAGAAAAGGCAAATAAGTTAGATATCACAATGTACAAAATGACAGAATTGTCTCCCATTGGGTGAACTGCCTATGCAGGTACCTTAAATCTTAGAAGACAGTAGAAAAAGAGAAGAGAAGCCAGGTGCGCCTGTAATCCCAGCATCTTGGGAGGCTGAGGCAGGAGGATTGGAAGTTCAAAGCCAGTGTCAGGAAAAGTGAGGTATAAGCAACTCAGTGAGACCTGTCTCTAAATAAAATACAAAATAGGGCTGGGGATGTGGTTCAGTGGCCAAGTGCCCGAGTTCAATCCCTGATACCAAAAAAAAAAAAAAAAAAAAAAAGAAAGAAAGAAAGAAAAAAAAATGAGAAGTGAGGCAATTGAAGATGGGGGTGGGAGGAGAAAGGGAACCCTTCAAATCCTTGGCTTTGCTAACCTGAGAGGGCTTTTAGATGGGAAGAGATGCAGCCATGCTGGGAATAAGAGGAAGTGGCTGTGAGCTCCTAGGCTCCAGCAAGGAGAGTCTTTTTATGGGGCGAGATCCAGAAGATGGCTTCACTTGAGGGGAGGGAAGCTTAAGGAACAAGGTAGGAGCTGGTAGGAGCTTTGGACCTGGCCTGAGGGTTGTATCTGATGCTGGGATTTAGAGGGAGTAGGAGCTCTGAAAAGGCCTGGGGCAAAAAAGGAAAGAAGGTGTGTGTGTGGGGGGGAGGGCAGCTTCCTCCTCTAACCCCCTTATTATATGGAGATCCTGAGAGGTCAGGACTTGGTGTCTTCTGCTTTATTCCATGCCCTCCTTCAGGTGTCTCGAATACTTGGGTCCCGTAAGTAGAGTTCCTAGGATAAGGATATGGAAGCGCCTGGCAGTCTTCTGAGTGGGGACAGCACGATAGGCAGGGATCGTGGGAGCTCCCTCTCCGCACCCCCTAGAAGGATCTCTCTCCCTTGGAAGAGGAGGACTTTAGCTTCTAGCAGTTCACAAAGTCGTCCTTCCGCGAACCTCCACGTGAACAGACTTTTGCCAAAGGTTGCTAAGCCTGATCTAGCCACCAGGGGGCAAAAGGAAAGCAGCCCTTAAGGTCAGTGTCCCCCGTCTGCCCCACCCACTCGCACCTGAGGCCAAGAAGGGCGGTGCCTCACCTGGCTGTCACGTTGAGCCTAGTAGCTTCGTTAACTCCTTCCTGCCTAGTCTGCAGTACCTCTAGGGCAGAATCATTTGTAGCAGAACTTGGGGGACAAATCTGACAGAGGAGGGGGTCAAGGTAGAAGTGAAGTCAGATTTTCCAGGAACTCAGTTCCTTGTGCTAGCTGGAGCTGGGGAAGGTAAACGTTCAGTTGGGTAGCTAGCCCCTCAAATGGGTGCAAGAGCCTGTCAGTGAAAGAGGCAAGGGCTGTGGTCACCTGAGAGGGGGCCTTAGAGGAGGGATATAGAGGAGAAAGCTCAGGTAGCTTCCAAACCCAGACTTCCGGGCTCCCAGCAGCCTTCTATCCGCCAGCCCCCCCTCCCCCCCCCAGCCCCAACTAGTGGGTGAAGGCGGGGAGGGTGGCCAGAGAGTGGAGGACCGACACAGAAGGAGGGAGCGGAGAGGGTAGACGGTTAAGATTGGGCAAAAAGTGGACTGGATTTCACAATTCCAGGTGCGCGGCTTTGCGTGTGGCTCCTCCTGTACCAGGCAGCCGGTCAGAGTCTGACCAGCACAAGTTCCGGGATGGCATTCCGGGCCACAAGGTGTTAAATTATGGGTGGGAGTGGGGTCTGGAGTCCCTCCCTCCCTCCTTCCTTCCTTCGCAGCGTCACCGTCTCAGACTCCACCAAGCTGGAGTGCAAGGAGTTAAGTCTGCCCGCAATCTGCAAGACTGGAGCCTGAGAGGGGGAGGGGGAGGAGGGGGGGAGAGCGGGAGAAGGGGGAAGCAGACTGCAGGGAGACAGCGCCAGGAACCCCCTCCCCAGGGACCTGGCCCCTGGGCCCCCAGCCCCAAAAGAGGCCCTGCCCACCCGGGGTCGTGCTCTCTTCCCTCGCCCTGCCCCCGCCCTACAGCTTTGTGTCCCCAGGAGGGTGGGCTGCAGGATTTCCAGCCAAGCCTTGGCTGCCTGCTCAGTTTTTCCAAACCCTCCAGTCGGGGAAGGCGGGAGCTCTGTCAGGATAAGAGTCCCTCCCCCGCTGCCCCCGTCGGCCCCCTCTCTCAGCCTCCCGTTTCCTGCCCCCGCACCTTTTCCAAACTCCTTTCCCTTTCCAACCTTGGCCCCTGCGCCCCCTAGCCCCACCTCTGTTGGCTCCCAAGTTCCAAGTTCAGGTTGGAGGGGATCTAGTGGATCCCATAATCTTAGGCGCTGGTAAAGCCACACTCCACAAGCCGACCCTGAGACCTAAGGGACGCCGGCGCGACTCCCCAGCCTGGCGCCCGCCCCATCCTAGACCACGGCCCCAGGCCACCAGAGAAGGTGGCTCTGGGATCCCGCCCCGGGATGGAGACGGTGCTTGGGGCGCCGGCAGAGCTGGGCAGCAGGCTCTGGGCAGCAGGTGCCAGGTCCTACAGCAGGTTTCGAGGAGGGGGCAAAGTGTTCCGAGCGCTGGCACGGTTCTGTCCAGCAAGTCTATTATATAATAATCACCATCTATCAGGAAGCCAGGAAGCCAGGCAGCTGGAGAGAGTAGGGAAGCCAGGATGCCCGGATCTGCTTTTCCTCCAGGGCCCAGGAAGGTGTCTCCACCGAGATGGGGGTGAAATGATGTGGGGGGTCGAGGGGCAACTGAGGGGCGTCAGGCAATCCGACTGCTACCTCGAAAACCCCGCCCTCATAACGCTGACTGACAGTACGCTGAACCAATGATTGAAGTCATTGTGGGGCTCCGGGTTAACCCTTTCTTGGGTCCACGGTTGCTTCAGCGCGTGGAGTCGCTTCCCAGGAAATGCTCCCCTGGGCCGACCCGCTCCCACCTTCTCAAGCTACTGAACGATCAGGTGAGGAATGTCAGCTGGAAGATCGGTTCTTCCCAGTAATTCCAGTAACAGGAAGATACGTAATTTCAGATAATAAGCATCGCTAGGGCCTCCCCTACCCCCATCCCCAAAGTAAATAAATTATAACACAAGATGTGGTTGTGGGTACACACTGTGTTTCCAGAAAAAGCCCCTAATGGCGCTGGCACAGCCACAGTGAGCCACGAACAGTCACCCTCACACACTCTTACCCATGCCGGCACGTCCACCCACAAATGCCCACACCGACTCTCGCTGACACACCTGTGACATCCCTCGTGACACAGTGACACACAGATATACGAAACACAGTGGTTCCCCGAGTTCTCCAGTAGAGGGGGCTGCTCGATTCCAGCAATGGGCCGCTCGCCTCTTTTTTCGCTCCAGGGTTCCACCCAGAACTCGTGGCTGCCCAGAGCTCTGCTCGGCATCTCGACCTGGAACCTACGCTGGGGGAATGAGTCACAGCCCCACCCTAGGGAGCGCTCCGCTCCACATGGCTGCTCCACAGAACATACCGAACACTCTTGAACTTGACTGTGTACCACATTTGAGACCCCTTGCAACAAGTCCACCCTCATCCCTACAAACATTGTTTTCTGGACCTACTATGAATTGAACTTGTGCCAAAAGGATCCGAAAAGGCCCATGTGGCTTGTCATATACGTGATACTGACCCAAGTAAATGGAGTGGACCCTCCTAAAAACTATTATGTTTTAGGACCGGCCCGCTGCTTTGAGATGCAGTCTATCCCCTGGGGATCCTGGAGAAAAGAAAAGAAATTAAACCCTAATTCCCAGAGCCAGGTACTATCCTAGGTGCTGGGATTGTCACTCTGGGCTTCAGTTTCATGGCCTTTAAATGAAGATAAGACTTAACTCAGAATTATGACGTTTCAACCCCTAACCTAGCACAGTTCTTAGTAGGTACTTGGGAAAGTTTTTTGATTGGATTAAAGCATGATCGTGAGATGATGTTCATGAAAGTGCTTCGTAAACTGTGATTGTGTTAGGCACACAGGAAAGGTTATGTTATCATCTGTTTGTCAGGGTATCTTCATCCCCCTACTACACACACATTTGAACCTCCCCAGACCTTGCTCAGTACCTAGTTTCTGGCACCATCAATCCATCAAGTCAAGATTTACTGAAGTTCCACTATGAACCTAGCCAGGACTTGAGCCAACCTTGGGTGAACACAGAGGATAGAAGGCATAGTCTGAGCCCTTAAGAATCTTTTGGCACCAACCAGACATACACACAGGAGAAACAAGGAAAATACAAGTAAGCATTCAGATGGGTGGTACACAAATAATAGGTGGTCAGAAGAGAGGGAGGTCACTGGAGCTAGAGCTTTCTGGAGAGAGAGGACAATTGGGAACAGAAAGGAGCAAATAGACTTGTTAGTTTCATTTCCTTCTGAAATAATCAATGCTTATCAATTGTTGGTATTAATTCTGGGTGGGTGGGGAAGGTATCCAGGGATAAAGAAATCCAACTTCTAGTCCTGGGCTTACCATGATCTAGTTGTGTAATCCTGAGTAAATCCTTATATAATGCAAGTCTCAGTTTCCTCATCTGTGTAATGGGGCCAAAATATCTTTCTTGCAAGTTCATGATGAACACTGAAATAACATGTGATGTTTTTAAAAACTGCCTTATAATTTCTTTTTCAATGTATCTACTATTCTTTAGGTGGAGAGAGAGAGAGAGAGAGAGAGAGAGAGAGAGAGAGAGAGAGAGAGAGAGAGAGAGGGGTAGAGAGGTAGGTGGGGGGAAGAAAGCCTTTTAAGGTTAGGAGAAATTTCTTTTGAAAAGACAAAGGTTTCACTTCCACAAACATTTTCTTACCATCCACTTTACACCCCTGCTGAGACTTGAGATGAAAATTCAGTCTATGTCCTCATGATGTACTAGGAGAGAGAGAGAGAGAGAGAGATATGAATAAAAGAGATGTTCAGTGCAAAATGGATGTGGGTGGGTACACTGAAGAGGGAAGCCTGTGCGGTGTGTGTGTGTGTGTGTGTGTGTGTCCAGGCAACTCCATCCAGTCCGCACATATAGTAGGGTAGGTTTGTGGGACCTCTCGCTAGCCTGGGATGCTGTTGGTGCGTCTCCTCCCCAGTCCTCAGGAATGGGTAGGAAAGAAAGACAGGAGCCCCCCCTCCCCGCCCCCGGGCCAACCTGCCTCGCGCTAGCCGGCTGGGCGCCTTACCGAGTCAGACCACTGGGAGGCTGGGGGAGCCGGGTTGGGCGAGGAGATGAGCGAGATGGGGGAGCTCTTATTTTGACAGGGGCCTCTCCGGGCTCTGGTATGAAGGCAGAAGGAGGCAGCCAGAGAGCCCCGATGCTTATTCAGGCTAGGGAGAGGAGCCGAGTGGAGGGGCGAGCGAGGCTCCGGCAGTGCAAGGGAGCCCGGGGAGGCGG